CCGGAACACCCTGCAAGCTCCAGCACTTCTACCAACTGCAAAAATTCGAGCGGCCGCGCGAATTCGAGGGTAAGCGTGGTGATTGAAGATACGACGTTAAAAAAGGACTTCATCCGGGAGGCCTGTTCTCATGTAATATGGAAGCATCTTAACGGACCACCGGTTCCGCTCCACCATCGTGCCCGCCGTAATGTCCCCGCCTATTATCAGCTCCTGTAGGCGAGGAACCATAGGATTGGCTTCAAATAACTTGTGGCACCTCCGTTGTCTGAAATTATTACGAGCCCAGTACTTGGCGAGGTATAACATCAAGGAATACAAATCTCCCGCGTACTGACTTCCACTTTCTTGGTTGGGTTATTCCTTCGAAGCCCGGATCGAGCCGCATATCTCCTTCTTTCGTGGCTGCTGGCCATGGATCCCATCTGGTTGAAGATAGATCACATCAGGATGCGATACTATTTTAACTGGAACTAAGCACACAGACGAGGATCACCGAAGATATAGGACGTTGAAATCTATGGCTGTTACAAATATGTAGATGTCAATTTCGGGAAACGATAAAGCGAGAGTGGCGCACTCTTATGGTCCGTGACGACAAGCAAGCCTTTGGAGTCAAGTTGGGGGAAGTATGCCGGGAGGGCGCTCAATTCTATGGATTTCCCTTCAATCGGACCCGTAATGCGCATTTCCACTCGATGGATCGACGGCACCAAGTGACTGGCAACCAGCGTGTCGAGGGCTGTCATAAAATCTCGGTCTAGGTAGTCGTCGTCTGAGATCCCCGAGAACACAATGGTCTCGATTCGGCTGGTATGTGTGAAGCGAGACATTGCTTTCCGAAGATCCGAGAGAAGACTCGGATCCTCGAGATCAAAGAACGTTATTTCCAGGGACGTGATTGCAGTATATGTGGAGAAATCTATAAGAGCTGCCAATTCTGGTCGAGAATGAGCTACGATGGGAAGAGGTTCGAAGGGGAAACATACCGCTTGTCACGCTCAGTCTCACAATTGTATTGCGGGCACCCGTTACAAGCTGAAGAATATTGCTTCCTGGTCGTTTACAATTGGAGAAATCGAAATCGACGAGTTGGGAGAAGTCAAAGGGGGAGGAGGGAGCCAGGAGCCAGTCCACGAAAGCGGGGGAGGGTCCTCTGAGCCTCAATTTTTCAATTGTCGCACGCTGGGATCTGGGGGTGACGTTGGCAGGAATAAATGCGCCAGGAACGTAAACCCCATCGAAATTGAGTTCGATGAGGTGGGACGAGGTTTCGAACAGGGTCGTCAATAGATCGAAACTTGGGCGGCACTGCTCGAGAGTAATCGCACGAGCTGAGGGAAGCGCGATTTTTTTTTTTGCCAACTTGTGAACGGGGTCGTTTTCGCCACCGCTCGTATCGATTTCGTAAAAACAGATCTCCCGTAAATTCGGGAACGCTATTTCCGCGAGGGGAGTCATCGTGTCCGACATCGTGTACGAGTTGACTTCTGCGCTGAGCCGCCGGACATATTTCACCAGGTGAGGTGATTCATGAAGGATTGTACAGAGCCGGAGACAAGCTGCACGGACATCGTAATGCCGATCCATAAATGTGACCGGGTCTCGACCGCAGTGGTGCTCGAGCTCCTCTGGTGCGAGGATGATATCGCGGAAGATGTGGGATTGAGCGGAGGCGCAGAGTTGCGGGGAAATTAGGGCAACGGAGTGCAGATACCGAGATGACGCATGTCGTGCGATCTCCTCTATAACTCCGTTGTAGACCTGGAGTAGAGAGAGGTGCGGCGGATAGTAAACAAAATGGGCGGCGTACATAGCCTTAGAGGAGTCTCCTCGCGCAATATGGTCTGCAACAAGGTGATCTACAATCTGATCAGAGAGTTCTTGGATACCGAGGACCCCTTTCGCGGCCATCTTGCCACTGCCAGTGGCGCCGGGAGGGAGGTGCACGAGCGATGAAAATTTTATCACAAGTTGATGATGCGATCATATTGATCGTGATCGATTCGATTGCAGCCTCTCTCGACGAAAATTCCAAGTACACGGGAAAAAAGAAGAAAGACACAGCGCCGAGTCGAGCGGGGACATGCATAACTCATGAGCAAGCAGCTTACCGAGTAACCCGAGTGGTTCGCTTTACATCACTGGATCTCGTATGGACAAGCAAGTTGAACCACGCGGGCCAGCTGGTTGGGCCTTTTATTTCACGGCAGGTTCTTGCAATCCTGTCTGGCTCGGAAAAAAAAAACTACGGAACAGAATTAATGGCCCAAACAGTACAGAATTTAACTCACAAGGTGCAGAAATAAATATGAGTGGATTTCAAAAGCAAGAAGAATTAAAAAGAAAATGACCCAGCCCCGAGTCGAACGGGGACTGACAGCTCGTGACAGCCTGTTCCTCCCTCAGAAGACACTGGAGTGTTGCATTACACTGCTGAGTCTTGGTCCCGTTCTTTGAGGCTGAAGTATGGACAAGTGTTTTTAAGGGCTGGGGGAAGTTGAACAAGCGGTTGAATTGAAGGGGGTTGGATATTATTTCGAGAGGGATACCTTGAGAGCTAAGTAAGTCCTGCACTGTCTCGTTTTCTCCCCTCATTAATAAAACTATTTCAAAGACGGGATGGAAAGAACTTGAATGAAATTCAAAGGCAAAATTAAAAAGAAAAGGATGACCCAGCCCCGAGTCGAACGGGGATCACCAGTTTGTGGAAACGGATACTCGGATCAACAGCTATTGCGAACTGGAGTGTTCTTTTACACCACTGGGTCTTATTCCCGTTCTTTGAGTCTGAGGTAGGAACAAGTGTTTTTGAAGGCCGAGCAGGTTGAAGGATGGGAACAAAGGAATCGAACGGCTGAATATTATTTTGTATCATATTTCTCCACCATATGAAGTAGCCATTCAACCGGTTGGACTATTATTTCTCTCCTGAGATGTTTTACCCCGAGAGAGGCATGATAGAACGAACTTGATTGTATTTCAAAGGTAGTTTTTATTTTATTTAAAAAAATGACCCAGCCCCGAGTTGAACGGGGATTGCCAGTTTGCCAAGGTACGATCGAATTGCCTCATGCGGAACTGGAGTGTTACATTACACCACTGGGTCTTAATACCATTCTTTGAGTCTGATGTATGGGCAAGCGTTCTTGAAGCCAGGGCCGCTATGAACGGGGCTAGGTTGGATTTCGCATTATTTCTCCACCGTGCGAAGTAGTCACTGGTATTCGATCGGTTCGACTGTTCGTTCTCTCCCATGAATATTCTTTCAGTAAATACGGGATGGAGCGAGCTTGAATTACTGAATTCTAAGTGCACGAAAAGACATACTAAAAAAAAGACCCAGCCCCGATTCGAACGGGGATCGCCAGTGAAAACTCATTATAATTAGCAACCCGCCGCATGCGGAACTGGAGTGCTACATTACACCACTGGGTCTTGTTCCAGTTTTTCGAATCTGAGATATATACGAGCGTTTGTGAGGGCTGGTGGAAGTTGAACGAGGGAATAAATTGAGCGGAGTTGAATTTATTTCGCGTCATTTTTCTTCTGCACCTTTGGAGGTAAGAAATGAACTGATTTGCAAGCTCACACCGTGTGCACTTTGATATCTGTCGCCGAACTTGAATTCTAGAGCACACAAAAAAAAGGAGTTGGAGAAGACCAAATTGAAATGACCCAGCCCCGGATTGAACGGGGAGCGCCTGCTGAAATCATGGTATCGGCTACCTAACCGCGTACAGGGGTGTTGCATTACACCACTGGGTCGTATTTTTGTTGTTCGAGGCTGATGCATGGGCAAGCGTTTGTGAGGGCCAGGGAAGTTGAACGATGGGAATAAATTGAGTTTTGGATTTCTTTCTTGTATTTATTTCTGTACCTTGCGGAGGCAAGCATTGAACCGTTCAGGCCATTGATTCTACCGTGAATATTCTTTGAATGGAGACAGGACGGAACGAATCTGATTGAAACTCAAAAAAAAAAAAGAAAGATGCCGAAAATGACCCAGCCCCGAGTTGAACGGGGATTGCCAGTTTAGGAGAAGGTGTTGGCAGAACTAGAACTGGGAGCTGGAGTGTTGCATTACACCACTGGGTCGTTATTCACTTGCAAAAATTCAAGACATCAATGAGTATTTTGAGGAGTGGGATGAAGTGGTTGGATTTTATTTCGAGTCATATTTTGGATCATAGACTCTTGAGCGTGTTTTTTTTCTTCTGATCTCTTATTGAATACAATTTCGAGTCAGCGCATTGTTTGAACGTGGGCCAATTATTACAACGCAGAGCGTTTCGGAGTAGGCTTGAAAAAAAATAACTTCAGCAACCAGCAATGACCCAGCCCCGAGTCGAACGGGGATTGCCAGCTTGTATGTCACAAGTCCTTCAAGTCGTCCTTATGAGGAACTGGAGTGTTGCATTACACCACTGGGACTTATTTCGCTTATTCGAGTCTGAGCTAAGAAAGAGTGTTTTCTGAGGGCAGGGAATTTGAACGATAGTGTGAATGATGATTGGTACTTTATTTCGCTATTATATTTATTCTGCAGTAAGGCTGCACCACTTGAAGTGTCTCGTTCTCTCCCCTCATTACAGCAATAATAATATTTCAATGAGTGCAGGATGGAATGAATTTGAATGAAATTTCAAAAGTAAGAAGAAATAAAAAGAAATGACCCAGCCCCGAGTCGAACGGGGATCGCCAGTTGACGGGAATCACTAGACATGAGGAACTGGGAGTGTTGCATTACACCACTGGGACTTATTTCGCTTATTCGAGTCTGAGCTAAGAAAGAGTGTTTTTTAAGGGCAGGGAATTTGAACGATGGTGTGAATGAATGATTGGCGGTTTATTTCGCTATTATATTTATTCTGCAGTAAGGCTGCACCACTTGAAGTGTCTCGTTCTCTCCCCTCATTACAGCAATAATAATATTTCAATGAGTGCAGGATGGAATGAATTTGAATGAATTTTCAAAAGTAAGAAGAAATAAAAAGAAATGACCCAGCCCCGAGTCGAACGGGGATCGCCAGCTGACGGAGTGAAAAGAACGTCGACGATATATGAGGAACTGGAGTGTTACATTACACCACTGGGTCTTATTCCTATTCTTTGAGTCTGATACATGACGAGCGTTCTTGAAGCGAGGGCCGCTGAGAATGAGGTTAGGCTGGAATTATTTCGCACATTTATCTGCGCCTTTGGAAGTAAGTCCTCCACCACTTGGACTGTTACATTCTCCCCCATCAATATTCTTTCAGTAAAGACAGGATGGAACGAACTTGAATGAAATTCCAAGTGCACGGGCCAAAAATAAATAAATAAAAATAAATGACCCGGCCCCGAGTTGAACGGGGATCGCCAGTTGAACTGCAATGAGCCTTCACTGTGATGGGCAGCTGGAATGTTCATTACACCACTGGGTCTTATTCCGGTTTTTCGAATCTGAGATATATACGAGTGTTGTGAGGGCCGGGGGAAGTTGAATAAGCGAATGAATTGAGCAGGTTGAATTTATTTCGCGTCATTTTTCTTCTGCACCTTTGGAGGTAAGAAATGAACCGATTTGCAAACTCACACCTTGTGCGCTTTGATTTCAGTCGCCGAAATTGCATTCTAGAGCACCAAAAAAAAATTGAGTTAAAAAGGCGCGACATGACCCAGCCCCGGATTGAACGGGGAGTGCTCGCTGCAATTATGTCATCCGCTATTTGACTGCGTGAAGGGGGTGTCGCATTACACCACTGGATCGTATTTTTGTTGTTCGAGGCTGATGCATGGACGAACGTTTGTGAGGGCCAGGGAAGTTAAACGATGGGAACAAGTTGAGCGGGGTTTTGGATTTCTTTCTTGTATTTATTTCTGTACCTTGCGGAGGCAAGTATTGAACCGTTCGGGCCATTGATTCTACTGTGAATATTCTTTGAATAGAGACAGGACGGAACGAAGCTGATTGAAACTCAAAAAAAAACAAGAAAGATGCCGAAAATGACCCAGCCCCGAGTTGAACGGGGATTGCCAGTTTAGGAGAAGGTGTTGGCAGAACTAGAACTGGGAGCTGGAGTGTTGCATTACACCACTGGGTCGTTATTCACTTGCAAAAATTCAAGACATCAATGAGTATTTTGAGGGGTGGGATGAAGTGATTAGATTTTATTTCGAGTCATATTTTGGATCATAGACTCTTGAGCGTGTTTTTTTTTTTCTGATCTCTTATTGAATACAATTTCGAGTCAGCGCATTGTTTGAACGTGGGCCAATTTTACAACGCAGAGCGTTTCGGAGTGGGCTTGAAAAAAAATGACTTCAGCAATCACCGATGACCCAGCCCCGAGTCGAACGGGGATTGCCAGCTTGTATGTCACAAATCCTCCTCATGAGGAACTGGAGTGTTGCATTACACTACTGGGACTTATTTCGCTTATTCGAGTCTGAGCTAAGAAAGAGTGTTTTTTGAGGGCAGGGAATTTGAACGAATGAATTGAATGAATGGGGTTGGCGCTTTATTTCGCGATTATATTTATTCTGCACCTATGGAGGTAAGGCTGCACCACCCGAAGTGTCTCGTTCTCTGCCCTCATTACAGCAATAATAATATTTCAATGAGTGCAGGATGGAATGAATTTGAATGAAATTTCAAAAGTAAGAAGAAATAAAAAGAAATGACCCAACCCCGAGTCGAACGGGGATCGCCAGTTGATGGAGATCGCAACAACGACTACTTGCGTATGAGGAATTGGAGTGTTACATTACACCACTGGGTCTTATTCCCGTTCTTTGAGTCTGAGGTATGAGAGAAGGCTGAGGAAGTCGAATAGAATGAAATACGGGTTGCATTTATTCGCGCCGTAGCCGTTTGTCAATGGATATTTGACGGCGCCGGCACCCCGAGTCCCGGCTCTTCTCGCACCTCCTCGAAGCGGCTCGAATTTATCCGCCCCCGGTCCCGCCCTCCCAATGCTCACTCAGCACTGACTCCACCCGCCCTTCCCACCAATCACCTTCCGCCATCACATCGCATAATTCAAACTCCGCCATCAGTGCTCACCAAGCATTTTCAAAAGTGATTAGTCACACCCTTATAAAACCGCCCCCGTCGTCGAGGAGCGCCCCACTACCGACTCCCCCCGCCAAGTGAGTGTCCCGTTATGCGTTTAGTGTGTCTTCTGGGGTGTGCGTTGCTGCTGGTGGGTGTAGTGGGGCGCCTGGGGCGCTCGGAGGGGTGGATTGGGGGGTGGGGGTGTGGATGACGTTTTTCTTTGCTTGGGTGTGGATTTTGGTTATGCTGGATGCTGATTATTGCTTGCTGCAGATTACATTACATTCAAGATGGGCCGCCGACCTGCCCGCTGCTACCGCTACTGCAAGAACAAGCCCTACCCGAAGAGTAGGTATAACCGTGGTGTGCCCGATCCCAAGGTGCGTTTCCTTTTCTTTGTGCTTCCGCTGTGGGATGCTGACTGTGTGTGTGTGTAGATCAGGATCTTCGACCTGGGGCGCAAGCGCGCGTCCGTGGACGAGTTCCCGTTCTGCTGCCACTTGGTGTCGGACGAGTATGAGCAGCTGTCGTCCGAGGCGCTCGAGGCTGCGCGTATCTGCGCGAACAAGGTGCGTCTCGTGTCTTTTTCTCCCTTTCTCTAGCTAATGGATGGTGTGCATGCAGTACGTGACCAAGACGTCGGGCAAGGACTCTTTCCATCTGCGCGTGCGCGCGCACCCCTTCCACGTCATCCGCATTAACAAGATGTTGTCCTGCGCCGGCGCCGATCGCCTGCAGACGGGTATGCGCGGCGCCTGGGGCAAGCCCGTGCGTCCCTCTCCTCCCTCATATAATGATCGTGTGCTGACGAAAGGCGCAGTACGGCACCGTCGCGCGCGTGAACATCGGGCAGGTCATCCTGTCGATCCGCACAAAGGATGCAAACGCGCCCGTCGTCATGGAGGCGCTGCGCCGCGCGCGCTACAAGTTCCCCGGGAGGCAAAAGATCATCGTCTCCAAGAAGTGGGGCTTCACGAACGTCGCGAAGGGCGATTACATGAAGCTGAAGGAGGAGAAGAAGGTGCTGCAGTGAGTCGCGTTTCATTAATTCTTTTTCGTTCGATGTGGCTTTGGGTGGATTGCTGACTTGCGCGGCAGGGACGGGGCGTACGTGCAGTTCATCCGGCCGAAGGGCCCTCTGGAGGCGAACCTGCGCAACCAGCTCCGCGCATAGGTGTAGGCGTACTTGTTTGTATAGCGCTGAATGATATTGGGGTGAGAAAAGCGTGTGTGACGTCGGTGCCGTTTTTTTTGACCGGTCTATCTTCGGCGTCTCTCTGCCTTTCGAGTCGTCTCTTTTCCTTTCCCACCCCCGTTTTTTTCGGCGTCTCGTTCCTTCCCCCGCTTTTCCTTGCCCCTACCCGCTTTTCCTTTCCCGCTTTTCCATTGGCTGGGGCCAGGGCGGCCCTTCTCTCGTCATTTTCATTTATCTATCTTTACTGTGGCGTTGGACACACGGTGTCGGCGACGGCAGTGGCCGAGCCGCGACCCTGCATCGTCGGCATTTGCCTGCGCTGTCCGCACCGTCGCCGTGTGTTCCGACTTTTGTGCCTGGGCTGTCCACACCCGGCCTTTGTGTGCCTGCCGCGGTGTGCCCCGTCCACCGACACTGACACAGCCTCCGTCCAGTAGCACACACGCCCCCTTATTCACTACGCCGCCCCGAACAATGGGCGGTGCGAGGGGAACGGGGGCGCAGATTGTCTCTTGTTACTTTGCTCCGCTGATTTGATTCGTTATGTTTTTAAAAAATCACACGATGGATGGAGTGGGTATCTACATCTATGTGTACTTCTGTATTTCTGTGCGCGCAATGGATTCTGTGTCGTGTCTGCAATGTCCATTTTATTTCCCTGCGGTTATTTTTTTTCCCGAGTCCCAAGTCTTTACCCCCTTTTTTCCGAGTGTTTTGTGTAACATACTTGTGCGAAATCTGGGGTGGTTATCTGGGCCAAGCGTGAAGGGATCAGTAAAAGAATTACCGCAGGCGGTTATATTTGGCCATGACGGCCTTGTTGCGGATGGAGATAAGCTCCAAGCCGCCGTCTATTTTCCATTTCCGTTCGACCTCGCTCCCTGCTTCGAACCACCGCCCATACTCCGCGTCGGACGCACCCCCTTGCTTGCAACCGACGGACGAGGCTTACTTTCATTAACCGAAGGAAGGGCGTTACAAGGTAGCTTGTTACCGGCGAGCCAGATTCGCTGCAGCGAGATCGCGTGTTAAAGCGAGGAGTCTTCTGCGTTGAAAGGACGGATTAGCTTGCGCTTTAGAAGGAGCGAAACGAGCGAGCATCCCCCCCAGGCTGCGTAGGACGACGTTTTGCGTCTGCGTAGGAAGCGATAGGAGCACGAAGCACAAGCAAGCTAGACCGGACCAGGGCAGACGCTAGGCGCAGAAGAGAAGAGAAGAAGGATACATAAAGGCTCGCGAGGGACTAGTGCGCGCGTAGGACGACTGGACTGTGTGCGGACTACGAGCAGGGCAACGACGACTACCACTGTGGGCATCGAGACTACGCATACACACGACCACTGCGGACATAGCAAATAACACACACGCACACCCCACGCACCCCCACAATGTCGTTCGCGTACCTGCAGGACTATGCCTACGACGAGGCGCAGGAGCGCACACAAGCACACGGAGCCAACCGCGGCGCGCCGCCGCTGCAGCTGCACGTCCCCGAGTACCTGCGATACGACATCCCGCCGGCCCTCGCGACGGGCGGAGGTGTGGAGGCGCTGCACCCCGGCAGCGTCGTCTCCGCGCAGTGGTTCGCGAACAGCGGCTTCGGCGTGCGGCAGTGCGTGTTTCTTTCTTCCGTCCCTCCTTGTCTGACTGCTGAATTATATATTATAGACCATGCGACACCGTCACCGAGGGGGCGTACTCGTCGCTCGAGGTGCTGCAGCAGCATTTCCCTGCTACCATTAGCATCAACAAGACCGGCCCCGTCGCCGCCGTCCCCAGCCCCATCGCGCGCCCCAGCGCGCCCGACCCACCCAGCCCGCTCGCCACTGCGCCCGCCGCCCCCGTCGGCCTACCCTTATACTCCC